TGCTGCTGCAACAGCAAAGCAGCAGGTGCTGCTGCAACAGCAAAACAGCAGGTGCTGCTGCAGGTCCTGCAGCACGTGCGGCAGAAACAGCAGCAGGTCTTGTTGCAGCAGCAGCAACAGGTGTTGCTGCAGCAGCAGCAGCAGGTGCTGCAGCAGCAGCAGCAGGTGCTGCAGCAGCAGGAGGAGCAAGTGGTGAAGCAACAGCAGAAGCAGGTACTGCAGCAGCAGGTTGAGGAGAAGCAGCAGGAAGCTGAACCTCGTTTTAATGCTTGAATACACGCGATTTGTTTTAGCGAAGTTTGAAGTCTTTATGCTGCAGCAGCTGCAGCAGCAACTGCTGCGGCAGCAACTACAGCAAAAACTGCAGCAGCAACTGCAGCAGCAGCTGCAGCAACAGCAAAAAAGAGCTGTTTGAGTTTAAATTTGGGTATTTTCGAAAAAACATTTTTTTAATTTTCATATTTTCAGGTGTATTGAAGCTGGAGGTACGTACAGCAGCAGCAGCAGCTGCTGCTGCTGCAGCTGCTGCTGCTGCAGCTACTGCTGCTGCAGCTGCTGCTGCTGCAGCTGCTGCAGCTGCTGCTGCTGCTGTACGCGCTGCCGCAGGTACTGCAGCAGCAGCAGCAGGAACATTTATGCGGGGTAGAATGTATGAAGCATATAAACAAAAGGAGACGAAAGCAAACAAATAAACAGAGACAGAGACAAACAGAGTAAAGAGACAGAGACAAACAAATAAAAGAGAGACAGAGATAGAGAGATAAAATAAACAAATAAACAAATAAACAAAAAATAAACAAATGAACAAAAATATAAACAGAGAGAGGAGACAGAGACAAACAAAAAGATAAAGAGATAAAAATATATAAAAGAGAGAAACAAAGAGGAAACAAAAACAAAAACAAACAAACAAACAAACGGAGCGACAAATAAATTAAATTAATTAAATAAAATTAAATTATTGCTGAAAAAATAAAAACAAAAGGCAAACAAAGAGAGGCAGCAGAGACAAACAAAACAGAGACAGAACACACAACTACAAACAGATAGAGACAGATATATATATATATATATAGAGAGAGAGAGAGAGAGAGAGACAAACGAAAAACAAACAAATAAATAAATAAACCGACGACAGACAGGGAGACAGACAGCGAGAAAAAAACAGACAAAACAAAAAAACAAAAACGAGAGAGACAAACAAATGCGTAGAATGTAGAAAAAATAAGATATTAGCAACTCTTTTTACTAATTGTTTCGGGTGTACATGCAGCTCAGCTGGTGTTTGCTGTCTTACAACAGCTGCAGCAGCAGCTGAGGTAGCAGAAGCAAATGCTGCGGCTACTGCGGCTACTGCTGCACGCTACTGCTGCAGCAGTAGCTGCCCGGATGGGATCGCCTCTAAACAGCAGCAGCAGCAGCAACAGCAAGTATAAATGCCTACTCTGAAGCTGCTGTTGCAGCTCTTTCTGCTGCTGTACAGCTATTGCTGCTGCTGCGCAGCAGCTACTGCTTCTATTTCAGTTTCTGTTGCTGCTGCTGTTGTTGCTGCTCTCACTGCTGCTGCTCTGACTGTTGCTGCTCTTACTGCTGCTGCTCTTACTGCTGCTGCTGCTGCTCTTACTGCTGCTGCTTTCACTACTACTACTTCTGCTGCCGCTCTGATTGCTGCTGCTGCTGCTGCTCTCACTACTACACGTGCTGCTGCTGCTGCTGTTGCTGCTGCTGTTGCTGCTGCTGCTGCTGCTGCTGCTGTGATATTAGTAAATAGTTTGATATACAAGCAGAGCCCACTTCGGTAGAACTAACTGCAGCACGCCCTCAGCACTAGCGTCGATATATCGATGACCTGCGCTGTCTCTCCATCCACCGAATTCTTCTTCTTGAGAATTAAAAAGAAGTTTTAGCTGCTGCAATCTTCTTGAATTGCTGCTGTATTTCAAGCTGTATGTACACCCTGACTCCCACTGGCCTTCGCCGCAGTTTAATACAATAAATAAATCTCCCCGAGTAAATGCTGAAGAAGAATATAATTAATTAATTAATTATTAATTAATTATCAATTAATTAATTATTAATTAATTAATTATTTAATTCAAATAATTAATACAGAAATAATTAATTAATCAAGCCAAATATAATTATTTCAGTAAACCCACTAATAAATAAATAATTAATTAGGAAAGTAAATAATTTATTAAATAAACTCCTAAATAATTAATTAATTTAAACAATTAATAATTAATTAATTAATTAATTTAAACAATTAACTAATAAATAATTAATTAAATGCACTAATAAATAAAGAAAAACATAATTAATTAATTAATTCAATTTAAGCAATAATATATATATATATATATATATTATTTAATTCATTCATTTACTCAAGGAAGAGAGTCTCCTAAAGAAAAATAAAGTAAATATATGTATATGTATATATATATATATTTACATATATATATTACATATATATATATATTTACATATATATATATGTACATATATATATATATGTATATGTACATATATATAATATAATTCAAATAATTAATTGGCTCAAGCAGTCGTTCTTCCTTTCATGCAAATTATATAATTTCTTTTATTTAATCTAATTTCATTTGTTTAATTTAATTAAATTAATTTTAGTTTACGTTATAAGAACCAATATAATATAATACAATATAATATACTATGATATAATATAATATAATATAATATAATATAATATAATATAATACAATATATTATAATATAATATAATATAATATAATATAATACTAGAATATACATAAACTAAAAAGCTATAATTAATTTAAACTCTTACCTAAAACTCTATTTGTAGTGTCTTCATGAACAAAGACAGGAGAAGCAAATTCATCTGTTAATTCATTGAACTCCAATCGAAGTTTGTTTGCTGCTCTCACCTGCGCAGCAAACCCCAACAAACCCTAAACCCTAAACCCTAAACCCTAAACCCTAAACCCTGAGACCTCGAGTTAGCTGTTAGGAATATATCAAAGCAAAACAAAATAAAACAAAACAAAAACACACGATTACAACACACCCCAACTAAATATTAACAGTATTTGCTTGGAAAAAAAAGGAAAAAGATCAGCCCCAGCTAGGGTTTAGGGTTTAGGGTTTAGGGTTTAGGGTTTATGAGGCCCACAAGAGACATCATTTGTTTAGCAAATGGATCATTTAGGAGTCCCCAATTAAAATGTTTTCCAGCTTCAACATTCCAAAAAGAATTCTGCAAAGTTTCTGTGCCCATAAATATCATCGGAAGCCCGCGGCTTACTGCTTGCAAGCTGTACCTGCGCAGCAGCAGCAGCAGCAGCAGCAGCAGCAGCAGCAGCAGCAGCAGCAGCAGCAGC